CTCCTCTTGGCAAGCCCTGTCGCCACCCCCAGTGTGCGTGTCCCTCACAGCAGCGCCTCCTCGTCCGTTCCCTTTCCATCTGGTGGTTTCCCGTTCCACCACTTGTCTTGTTCCTCTCTGGAACATAAGCCGTGTGAAGACAGCCACCTTTTTTGTGTGGCCTTTATTCATTGATATCTCCTCCATGGTGACTGGCAATGAGTTAAAATGAGGGAGGGGGACAAAGGAACTTGGGAAGGAACAGACAAGTGAATGTTGGTTGATCGGTTATTAGTGAGGTTGGGTAATGTTGGAAATATCCCCAGAAATGGCATGTGAGAACCATCAAAAAGTGTTTCAAGGTCACCAAGAGAACATGCCCAATTCCCTCTCCTTTTTCAAACAGGCTCCTGATGGCCACACTCCCCAAGTTCAGCCCCTGAGCCCCACATTAAGGATGTCTCTTTTTACTGTCAGGAGAGACCTTTACCATGGAAAGGGATGAGGAGGACGAAAAGTCCCTGACCACTATTATTTTAAGACTGATGTTTGCCGTATACTGTTGGCCGACCCCCAGCTAGACATAGCTACTACCTTTTAACCAGAACACAAATACTGTAGCTCGTCCGTACACACAAACATATCATTGCATGTTACTACAGATATTTTCTACTCTTTTCTGTTTGATTTTATTCAGTCCTTTAAAGCAATCCAAGTTGTGACCCATTTCGTTGGGTTCATGACCTGTGCATAGCACCATGCAGTTTGGAAAAACAAAAGTTGAAGATGTGGAACTCTAATGCTAGGGAGATGGCCCAGCAGGTAAGAGCACAGGACCTGGAGTCAAATCCCAGCACACATGGAAAGAGACAGGCTTGTGCCTGTGCCCACCAGTAAGCCTGGCTCTGGGAGGGTGGAGCAAGTAGGATCCCTGGGGCTTGCTGACCAACTGCCAGACATGGCAGTCTGCTTTAGGGTAAGGCAGAGTGATAGAGCATGTCCCTTCCTGTCCTTCCCCCAACAGTGCAAACAGCTTGGTGCATACACACACACACACACACACACACACACACACACGTACACACATATCCCCCATCACCACACACACCCACACACACACCACATCACACACACACACATACACACCACATCACTCACACACACACACACCACATCACACACACACACACACACGCATGCGCGCACACACATACACACACGTACACACATATCCCCCATCACCACACACACACTCACACCACATCACACACACATACACACACACCACATCACTCACACACACACACACACACATGGACACACACACCACATCCAACACACATACACACACATACACACACACACACACACACACCCCACTATGCCTTTCCTTAGGAATTTTCTATCTAGCAAAGGAATTTGACTTTGCTAAGTTTAACTGCTAAGTGCATTTTATGGGCTGTGGGGTTTGCAGGGCTGTGGGCCACAGGGTGATAATGAGGCTGCAGGGAAGGCCCCTCTATCCAGACCTCTCCAGAAATCTGGGAGAGAATGGACCTTTTCCTAGTAAATTTCATTTAATTCCCACCCACCCCCAACTTGTTTCTTTTTTTTTCCTCTTGTATGGTGATTTTTGGTTTTTAGTGTCAACGGAGTTGGTAGCTCCTCAGGTAGTTTTTAATTAGAAAGATATAAAAACTTGATTTTACTTTTACTATCTTTCCACTAATTTTCCAACTCTTGTCTGGACATTGGTTTTCTCTGGGGGGGGTATGATATATGTATGTGTTAGTGCATATACAATCACATAATACATGTACATACATGTGTATATATAGTGGAAATGCACCGTTAAGTGAAGGGTTTTATTGTTTTGAATTCCGTAACATTTAATGGTCCATGACCTTCACAGTTATTTCCATTAAAAAGGTTTGCGTTCTTGTTTTCAGAGGAGATGCAGAGATTTCCATAAACGCTCTGACCCTCAGAGTTATTTCACAACTGTAATCAAATTACACCCTTCTGCAGGAGGCATTCAGTGCAACTCTTCCTGACCCTCGAAACTTGAGCCCTCTAGTCCCTGTGCATTTCCATTTCAGAAGTTTTTAGCTAAATCATCTGAATCTCCACATGAAACCAAAGAAGGCTTGACGATGGCTGTGTTTCCAGATTCTCCAACTGCCCCAAACCCCAAGGTCTCTCTGCCTAGTGCTTTCCGTAGTGTCAGAGGCTGTGACAGGGTCCCCATGGGTGCATACCCAAGAAGCATTGCATTTCGCTTTTCTTCTTTGGAATGCCTGCAGTTCTTAGTGTGAGACACACTAAAACACAGTGTATTAAGTCAGCAGTTGTCTGTTGAGAAAAACAATAAAAGTTCCCCCCAGACAAAAAGAACCAACAATCCCAGACCTCTGTGGGGTCAGGGGCATGGTCCGTTTCTTTGGATCCAAAGCCTGAGATTGTTAACAAGCTTGTGCTCATTAACACGAAGCTACATGAACTGACTAAATTCAGAAACGTAGGTTCAATGATCATGATACCAAGACCTAGGCTACAGGAAAGTTCTAGAAGCTGGATGGTTGTCAGTGGAGTTGGCTTCCCGAGTTAAGAAGTTACAGTGGCCAGAGCCGGTGTGTAGGGTACACAGGAAGCAGATAGAGTCACTGGTGAAGGGGTGGGTTATATTAGAATACCAAAAAATCGTACCAACATATTGTTCAGCCAAGACTACAACACATGTGAGCAGTGGCCATCTTAAACCCTTCAGTGTACAAGAATCCCTCCCATGCCTCTGCTGGACCAAAAAAACCCCATCAGATGTAAAGTTATAGAGTATGTCTACTCAGGTATGTCTCTTTCATAAGATCTCTTCAGTGATGCATACAGGGATGGCCATTGCGTTAGGGTCTCAGAGCACACCATCCCTGGGCCGTTTGCCTGTCTCTCACCAGGGAGGGGGCCATGACGTTCTCTGGCACCATGACTTGTCTACAGCTACGTAAGAATGGTTATGAGGCTCCAGACTTCCCATTCTTGTTCGTCAGCCTTCCACTCAGCAGCTGGATCACTAACTGGGGAGCTGCTCTGCACAATCTGTAAATAACACTACAATGTCATAAACAGGACACCTGAGTTGGGATTGGGAGGAGCACATTCTTGGCTTATAGTTGCTTACCCAAGAAGGCTGGTTGGGCCCTGATTGCTTTGTTGCAGGTATTTCCAGTTGAAAAATTAAACCTACCCTGCCTTCAAAGCCATCTTGATGACAACAAAAGCCCCTAGACACCTGCCACTGGGGCCATCTTCTGGCAGAAGTGTTTCTATTGCATATTGGCTGTGGCCTTCCCTGTAGCTTAGGACATGCTGTGCACTGGTCCCCTGGCTCAGGGCTCACCTGAGAACCTTTGATGAAGAAGGTCAGGCCAGCCCTCCCAACTGCAGCTTAGTGGCTTCTTTTACTTCAGTGGGGTAACTCACTGTCTTCCCAGCACTGCCCACACCTGCCCGCTCCTTGCCTTTTGGCTTTCTTTAAAGTATGGCATGCATCATGTTCCTTAGGAAGAGGTAGAGGATCCAGAGCCTGCCTTACTTGGAAAGGCTGGTCAAACCCTGCAAACTATGCCAGACTTAAAAACATGTACATGAAAGGAAATGACTAGGTCTTTGATTGCCCAGATGATTAAACGCTACACACACGTCTTCAGCGTAGATGTTCTGGGACCAAGGACCAGGTGACTAGTATGGTTCCGGGTATGGCGTTTGACTGTGGCTTTGTAGGACTCCCCTGTCCTCAGTCTACCGGAAACTGTTCATTCTAGTTGTCCTGCTGTTACTGAGACTTTCGAATTATTTTAATGTGTGCTGTGAACACACAAAGCTTGTAAGAAAACTATTTGGTGACATGATAACTGAAATACAGACTAAAAAAATTTCTTCAAAGATTTTTGGAATGGCTTAGCTTTAGTGAGCCTTCCATGCGATCTCCTTTTAATTTTCCTCCCCGTGTTAGTTTAAAGGTTTACTTGTTTGCTTTTCTCAGTGTTGGAAGACACCACCAGGCTTGTGGAGGAGAGTAAGTGAAACTCAGAATGAGGCATGGGTGGGCGGGACTAGGTTATTTAGCTTCTTTTCTTTCCAAACCTGTAAATATTTACAGATGACCTTATCAAATGGTTTGCGTACACTGATCCAATTGAAAGCAGGGCAGTGAGGGCAGCTGTTCCCCACCCCCACCCACTGTTAAAGCTGGTCTCAGACCAACTGCCTCCAGCCCAAAAGTGGCCTTCAGGGAAAGCTGCCCCCTTCCCCCCAGGGAACAGTTTTAGCCAATTTACACTTTTAAAGTGTGACCTCTTCTAAAGATTCCTAGAGACAAGAGCAGATTGCTGTGACCTGAAGGACACCCCCCCCCTTCATAAAAATAAAAAAAAATACATTGAATTCTGGCTTAGGTTTGCTATTGTTGTCAGGTCTTTTGTTTCTGAGGGGAAGGTAATTATAAATTCCATTCCAAGCATAAATGTTCTTTTGTGAGCAAGTTTCGGGGGACGGGATACCAAAAACAATGAGTGGATTACGTTTCCATTTTTGTCAGATCATGCCAGGATAATGTGGTTTAAAACAGCTGGGGTTTTTCAGAACAGAGACGGAGCTTCGAGGTTGTCTCCGCACCCATGAGTGTCAGCCAAGCTATAGATTTTTGGAAGAGACTGAATATTCCTCCAAAGTCATACTGAGAAATAAGTGTTTCTGGTTAGGGTGTAGTTCAGATATGAAAATCATATTATTGCATCAGCATAATCTGGTAACAACAGGTTCATCTGACCTGACCTACTCAGTGCAAAGAAGAGCAACAAGCATTTAACGGTGTCCTGTTGTCAGAGGACAACATCTAAGTCTGAGAAATCATTAGTAAATGAACAGGAAACTTTTGAGAATAACTACAGTATAGCCATGTATTTGCCTACTACAAAATACACTCTACTGTATTAATATGTTTTCATTTTAATTTTCCTTTGCAGAGTATTGGGAAAGGGTCATTGTGGTGCATAGACCCAGAGTATAGACAAAATCTAATTCAGGCTTTGAAAAAGACACCTTACCACCCACCTCCTACTCCTCAGGCTTATCAAAGGTAAGTAACTAGAACTATCAGATTTCTTTTTTTTTTTTAAGTCTCCTGAAATTTTGTTATTTTAGCAGAGACAGTCTGAAAAACTAATTTAGAAGGCTGTATGAATGTTTTAAAAATAACTACAGACAAATGGGAGAAAGAATTAAGTATGATGAGGAGGTACATCCGTCGGTGATGCATTTCCTGGGAAGCTTACCACTTCTGCTGCTCCGACCGAGCATGGCTCCAGAGGGGTCCCTGGTAGATGAAATGACGTCTTCCTGGGTAGAACCATTTACTGAGGAAAGTGGACAGCTTTCATGTCTCTGTGTGTCACGCTTTGTTGAGGGTAAGAGCAGTGAGGCACGCAGGTGAGTCCACCTTCCCGTGGCCTCACTGTAGAGATGTGGAAAGAAGGCAGGCTCAGTTGTTGACATCCAGTTTCCATGTCGACAGGCTCCTGAGTGATGGGTTTGTTGTGGTTACTAAGTGTTTGCCTTGAGAACAGTGGCCACTTTCCCCCCTCACGTGCCTGTCTGTCATGAGATTGAGGTCATGAGTGTGGTTTTTTACTAATATACAATGGGAAGGGAGTTAGGTAGATTGTCACGGTTTAAAAAGCATGTTAGGTTATTGCTAGGTTAGAAGAAAGGGCCTATAGAACAAAGAGCCAGATTTCAAACTTAGCTATTCATGATGCTTGTATCAGGCTCACCAAGAAAGTTTTTGAAAATTACTTTGTTTATTTATGTGTATGGCTGTTTTGCCTGCATTTATGTCTGCATAGCATTCCCATGCTTGGTGTCTGTGGAAGCCAGAAGAGGCCATTGCATTCTCTGGAACCAGAATTACAGACGGTTTGAGCCACTGTGTCAGTGCTAGGAATTGAACCTGGGTCCTCTGGAGGAGCAGCCAGTGCTCTTAATCACTGAGCCATCTTTCCAGCCCCCTACCAAGAAATTCTCGAAGATGTGTAGCAGCGTTTCTTTTGTTAACCATCCAGTTAAGGGAAACTGCCAGTGGAGTAGACATTCATGTTAATTGGGAATGGCCTGATGTCAGAAGGCTGGGGAATTTTACAGTCCACTTGCAGATTTTTCTGTTCTGATGTTTGTTCCGCAGGAGGGCACACAGAGTGAGCCTTCCAACGTGGCATTAATGAAGTTCCTGTGCGTTCCATCACAGGCCCTAGACAATCAGTCTCCGGCAAGAGACGGGAGAAGCAGCTGGGCTCTATGAGAAGACTGCTGTATGTCTGCCTTTGCTAGGCGATTAGCGTGATGGTAGCCATAGTAACTGGAGTGTCTCCATAGTAACGCGTAGCTGAGACAGGTGCACTTGCATCACAAGGCTGTTTGTTGCCTGGCAAAAGGACAGGCCATTAGTACTTAGACATAAGCTGTTGCCTTAGAAACAAATAACCCTACATAGCAACTACAGTTGGTTCGCAAGGGTATTTTTGGGGAGTTGGGGGGACAAGCAAGGTTGTAGCTGCTTTTGTCTGTGTTCATAAAAATCAGTGGAAGCATGCTTTATTTGAAATGACAACTCGAGGTCATAGAGCTGTAGGAGGAAGAGGCGGGATTTTCCAGAGCAGCCTAGCCTACCTTGTAGCAATGTCCAGAAGGACAGAGCCATATGCCTGGCCCTCTCCTTGTGATTGTAGCCATTCCTGAAATAGAAACTGGGATTGGAGTAGAGAGTTGCTCCCGTATGGGGTTGAGAGTCTGGCACTAATTATTGGAGTATTTTCGATATTTAGTTTCTAAGCCTACCCCAACTAGTTTCTCTAGTTTCTCCCCTAAAAGTATGTCACACCCCTTTGCTTCTCGCAAGCTAAAAATGTAAGTGTTATTCACTGGGTCGCATCATTGGTTCATTTAGGCCAGTGTCTTGTTGCCAAATGTGACCCCAAGGGACACACTGCAATTATTTAATAATTTGAAGGATTATAATAGAGCTCTAGGGGTTGCAAGTAAAACATACTCAGGCCAAGAGGTACTGTGTGCTGGCTGTAGCCTAATGACTTCTCTCGAGTCTTAATACCAGCATAAAAATACAGATGAACCAGAGCTTCTATAGTGAAAAATGATTTCCAGTTGACCACTTCAGATCCAGTCCTGTCACCTGCAGTTAATATCGGTTAGATATCAAGTCCATCAAGATCACTGGGTGTAAATCGAGGTGACAGGAGAGGTTCCAGCCCCAATCTTTATGGTTTGAATCCAGAGAGCACCTTGTTCTCTCCATGCCTTTGAAGGGCTTTGCTTGAGGAGCCTATGGTGTGAGAAATCACCCTGAAGCTGCTCCACGCCCAGTAAGGAACTTCTGTGCACCAGGCCACTTGCCCATGTAATTCTGGGAAGCTGGAAGTGGAACAGCCAGTCATAAACAGATACCAACATGCTGAGTTAACCTGCTCTGGCCAGGTCTACCTCGACTCAAGGGATCCTTGTCAACCCCATGTGGAGCCACTGTGAAGGGCACCTGGGTAGTGTCTGGCTTCCACGGAGCTGGTATTTGGCATGTGAAAGAAGACAGTGATTATACAAGAAGGGCAGCTCTTGCTGTCCCTTGCAGGTGTGCTTGGCAGCAGCACTGGGCTGAGCTGCAGGTGGCTGGAGGCTCTGTGAGGAAATCCAGGAGTCTGAAAACACTGCCCCAATCTTGCCCACATCCAAACATAATGCTAAAAACGTTGTATTATGTTGACTTGCACCTGTTTTCCAAGATTTTGTTTGAGTGTTCCTCTACACCTGCTTTTTCCTTTTTTTACGCTAAATACTGTTTTTAACTAAACTAGGAAGAGCTAGGTGAGTTAGCCTTTGTATTAATTTACATAGGCCACCCTGACAAAGCGCCAGAGCTGAGTGAGCCTAACAGCACTAGGAATTGCCTCTCACCCAGAGCTGCCTGCTGTGAGCCCAAGTTTCTTCTGGAGCTGTGGGAGAGGATCTGGCCCAGGCTCTCCCCTGGTTCTTGTGGCTTGCTGGTTATCTGTGGTATTCCTTGGCTTCTATTTCACAGGACTGTCTCTACCTCTGTCCTTCTTAGGAGGATGCTAAGCCTTCCTGATTAAAAACTCTCCTTATTCCAGTGTGACTTTAACTTCTCCAATGGCACAAATTTGAAATACAGTCACATTGTGAGATACTAGGGGCCTAGGACTTCTGGGTAAGATTTTAGGAAGTTGTAATTCAACCCTTAGCACTCTGGGGAAGCAGAAAGTCCAGGTGTGTTGAAAATGCAAAATGGTAGGGGAGTTTCAGGACACTGGAACCATCCTGAAAATGCCTCATGAGCTAAGTGATGTTATTGCATTGTAAACAACGTACAAAACAAGTATCCATGAGCTGGAACTGATGGATACAAATGAGGTCCGTTTCCCATACACAAGAATCCATGTAAGGGATGGGAACAGTTCTTTCCTAAGGACTTCTTGTAAAGAGTGGACTGTTGAGGAAGGGCACTAAAGGATCGTCTTAGTCAGGGTTTCTGTTGAGAAGGGGTCCTAAACAATTGTCTTAGTCAGGGTCTCCATTGCTGCAAGGAAACACTATGACCAAAAAGTAAGTCAGGGAGGAAAGGGTGTATTGAACTTATACTTCTCAGTTATAGTCCATCATTAGAGGAAGTCAGGACAGGAACTCAAAGAGGGCAGGAACCTAGGTAGGCGCTGATGCATGGAAGACATGGAAGGGTGCTGCTTACTGGCTTGCTCAGCGTGGCTTGCTCAGCTTGCTTTTTTATAAAACCCAGGCCCACCAACCTAGGGATGACACCACCCACAATGGGCTGGGCCCTCCCCCACTGATCGCTAATTGAGAAAATGACTTACAGCTCCTCATGGAGAAGCACTAGCGGCTCTTCTAGAGGACTCAGGTTCAATTCCCAGCATCCACATGGCAGCTCCAAAGCTGAGAACACATGTTGCACCTGCAGCCAAAACCCATATGCATAAAATAAAAATAAATAATTTTTAAGCTCTTCTTCTGCTGTGAGAAGGCGATAACGAGCATGCCTAATATCATGGCACTGTGTGTAGTCAGTCTCCTACAACAACACCTCAGGTAAATACTAACTAAAGGAGCGAAGATAACTTGGGCCTGCAGTTCCCCCTCATAGCCCTCCGGCTCCATTTCTTTGGGAAAGTGGCAGCGGGTACCTACAGTGTGGCAGCAGTATGTGTTAGCAGGGCCTGCACGCCTCATGGCAGTAGGGCAGCAGAGCAGGGGAAGAAAGGGACTGGAGTTCTACTGTTTCCTTCAAGACCCCCCCTACCCCCCCTTACCTAACTTCCTTCTAGTAGGCCCTACCTCCATTATCTCTAAGCCATAAGCTAATGACTAATCCTTTAGCATGTGGGTCTTTGGAGAGTGTGTGTGTGTGTGTGTGTGTGTGTGTGTGTGTGTGTGATGTAAATTTCAAGCCAAAAGGTGGACTTCCTGCTGAAACCCATAAGCTTGTTTTAACCGTGGGGAAAACTCAAACAGTGGCTTCGTCCTCCGTGAGGATCGTCTCCAAAACCCTGAGCTGGCACTCCTCACAGCTGCTTAGGTCATCAGAAGCAAGGAATGTCTGAAAAACTTGTGCAGACTAGAGGAGGCTGAGGAGACGCAGTGACTACATAGGAAACATGATCCTGGAACAGAAAGGCAGCGTTGGGCAGAAAAAAAGTGCACGTCAATAACTTGTTCATTCAGCTGAAAGGAGTCGTGTGCTCACGTTGACTTCTTAGTTGTGACAAATGTGCCACAGTAATGTAGGATGTGCGGTGGAAACCTGAACTGGGGACATGGAAACTCCCCAAGTTGTAGCAGGACAGAAAACTAGCTCCCAAAACACAGAGCCACCGAAGCGCTGACCACCACAGCTTCTTCCGCACTGCCTTCCCTTTGTCGGATCTGCTGAGCCTCAACAAAGGTGTCGCGGTCATTTAGCAAGCACGGTTCTTGGCCCTTTCTCCTTGTGAAGTGGTGCTCAGCTGTGCTTTGTAGAGTCCCCACGGCTGAGTTCAGGGA